TTTTTTTTTCGGAAATTTCTAGAAGATATTAACACTTGAAGATCGAATTTCAACTTTGTTATTAAGCATTATTTTGAAATTGTTCTATGTTTAATTGGAAGCATATTGGAATACTTATGAATTCCAAAAGAAAAATTGCGATCTTTACTTTAAATTACGAAAATTTTCGATATTAAAAAAGTTCTCTTCTACAATTTTTGGATGGAAAGTCAAAGCGGCAATGATGTTTTTTGCCATTAACAGATGGTTACAGGTAGACAGCCTTTGTCAATAATAACAATGATTTGTCAAACTGTGACTTACTTTAAATTTCCTTTCAGGAATTTTCTGATATGCGATTAGTTCAGGGGAAATGCTACAGTAACATAGCAGAAGCTGAAAGAACTCACGCCAACAAAGGGCGAGGAGAGTGGTTCCAGGACGATAGTGCCCGGCAATAGATGTTCGGGTTCCAGGCACAAAGGAACAAGTATTGGACATAATCGAATCAGGGCCTTCCAGGGGCACTCAGAGCACAACCACTGACACTTTCCCAGGCACCAAATAAATACCGGCGATATTACGTACACAGCACAAGGCGTACGATACACAGCACAAGGAGATACAAATGGAGCAGGAGTTAATTAACTGAATATGAGAAGCTGCTTGATCAGAGTATATAACAAGGAGATTACACAGGCACAAGCGTGTTTGGAGTTAACCATTCAAATGTTTGGTGTTGTATGGTTGATTTATAAACACCAATATTCGAGGTTGTGAGAAACAGTCATTCAACATAAGAGTCATTCAACGGCTCCTGTTGAATTTACCGTTTATTCTTATCTATCTTATTGTCACTCTGTATAATTCCATGGTTACCGGAGTTTTAAATAATTACGAAGCAACAGGTATTTGCGCAATGTTAATTAGGCAGATTACCTTGAAAAACATTGCTGCCGTATTTTTGATATAGTTTTTTGCAAATTTCTCAATTTTTAATAACAATTAATTTCTTTTACTATTTCTTCTGTACTCCTATAATAGCGCCAGACAACACCTCCAGAGGAATGGCGCCAATTTTGAATCACCCTGTATACGTACCAAATGACGATGAAACTAACCAAATGAAAGGTAACTACCTACTACACAAAATTACAAAAAATTCTGGACGAAATAGGAGATAGTAGACAAGTAGTCATGATGGGCGATTTTAATTGAAGAACTGAAAGCACAAACTAACGAAAATGGAGAGCCTATGCCAAAATAATAAACTAATAATTGTAAATGGCTTTTCTGAACATAAGGACAATCATAACTACACTTGGAGTCAAACCACAAGACAGTTAAAATCAATAATAGATTACGTTATAACACGCCAACAAACTGAACTGCAAGTGCAAGACGTAAGAGTAAGAACACGTGTAGTTTACTCTGATGCGATCCAACGACGAACACATTCGCTTGATAACTAATAAGTTACTTTAAATATGTTGCTAAACTGTAAAAATATAATGGACTTTTAACGAAAAAATGTGATTTTTTGCTGTCAACTAAGTGCACAATTTTCTTTTGTTCTGATCACCTATATGGCAATATGGTTTACTTGGACTGACTGGGATCTTTATATTTAGAGTAATTTTCACACTGAATAAATAAAGAAACATTATATTACGTTATGAGAATGCTTAAAAACAACACTTGCAATGTAGAGTCTGAACTTCCGCTAAATAAAGAAAAACTTAAACTAATATCCAATTGAGGTACAAAATCTAGTCAGTTATAAAATTGTTTCACTTAAAAACTAACGAGCGACACAAATATAATTAAAATTTCAAAATATACAATATATTTCTCTTATGTTCTATTGATATTCTTTGGCATCGATCAACAGGTCAGATCTTCAAGAGCAATAATTAAAAGTGATATAGTTTGGCACATTATATCGTGAAATACATCAATTTGTTCAGATGATTACTTTACTTTTTATTATGATTATTATGAGACAATTAGGTTCGCATAATTAAAATATTCGTATTTCCTGTGCAGGGTATTATTGCGATGGTCCTGTATAACATACTCTACAATTTTGTATAATTTAAAAACCATTCCAAATATCATATATGTATGCTATTTCAAGTTCTTCTATTTACAACTTTCATATAGTTATTTCAAATTGTTATTTACTATACATTGAAAACTTTTGACGAATTAGACAGTGTGTGGACTTGCTATTCGATGCTGTTTTAAACAAATAACCAGTCGTCTTACATCACTTGTTTTTACACATTGCTATTGACTGATTGATTGGTTTACCATTGAAAACATTTATTTATTACTAGATTGGTTAAAGCGTACGGCCTCTGTGTCCACGTCAATAAGACAAGAAATGTTTCTCCGACCGACAAAAAGTAACACCAATAGCGGATTCGATTATTTTAATCACTTCTACGCTTGTTAGACGTTAATATTAATTACATGGTTTTAAATTATTGTTACACCCGAGAGTAATTATAAAAACTGAGTGATCAACCCTGATAAAAAGTATACATTCAGTGGAACTCAATTCAGTCAGAACAATTTCATGTTCGGTCATTACATTAATACGAAGTGCAACTAAATAAACATTTGATTCGAACATTGATATAACAATAACATTGTACTGTTCAACGATTGATTAAATATTTGGTAAAACAGTAATTTCGAAATAATAAAAACTGTGCTTGCCATGTTCCATATCGTGGATATACCGATCTGCATGTACATACTTACTTACCCTGCCGCAAGTTCTTCCGCGAGCACTTAATCTACTAGTTCATATTTGAAAAAGTTCTATTAATTATCCATGTACGACTCACATTCGATCCCATAACTCTCAACTACTATATTAATCACGCACTAATGTTAAAATAAAAAATATTTTACTTTCTATTAAGTAAAATATTGTAATAAGTCTACGCATAGAATATACCCTGCACAAGTAATCAGCACATAAATGTAAAACTTTCCAGTCCTAATAGAAATCGAGGATTATTGAAACAGACTTACATATATAAACCGAACAAACCGATTTATTTTAATTTTCAAATCTTAACTAGCTATATCTAAACCTAATCGAGCTAGAGACATATTCCTGCGAAGTCTTATTATCTCCCAATATACGTCGTGGGCTGAAAAAGAATAAATTGCCGTTAAAACTATGCATAGTTATTTTTTATGATATGGGTAATATTTCTGCAAAAAATCTGCTATCTAAATCGAAAGTTTGTTATCAAAGATGAAAACTATAGTTCGATAGCAAAAATCGCAAGTTAGACAGGTAGGAATGTCAGAGCACTTTAATGCCGCTTTAGAATTAGAAGCCGATCAACGATTTTAGCTGGTAATGTTTAAATGTTGATGTTTATGTATCTAAGCTTTACTTATTTTATCCTCTCTTTTGGTGACGTGGGTTACAATCGTCTCAGAACTCTTAGAAATTATGTAGCTCCGAAACGATCTACTAAGCGAAATAGATGAAAACTTTTTTTAACTTTTTTGAAATGATTAGGACTTCAGCAGCAATTGTTTGAATCATTGGTGGTTTTTTAGTTTTTTGGCCATCGTCTATAGAAATTGGGTGCTGACGTTTCGCTAGCTTTCAAGGACCGCTCACGCTAGAATCAAGGAGTGGTTAATTTCAAGTGGGTTTATACCCGACGGCACGAATTAAAATATTTCTCATTTATACGGCTGAAAAAATTGTAACATTTCTTTGGTTGTATGAAAAAAACTGAAATGGTTTATTTATTAATTGAACAACTTTACGCCCAGTTTTGTCGATCTGCTCGATTCTTTTGTTATTAAAGATCTATACCGTGTATATGACTCCACAAGCGACATAAAACGCACACAGACTTAACAACTTTGGAGAAAGGGTGCAATGAGATGAAACAAGGTTATACAGCTGAGCTCTTGATATAACGGATTACCCAATTGGAGGTTGGGAAAGTAAAATCTTGCCATTTGATATCTGTCAAAGATAAACGTCATCCGATGCTTTTTTGCTTTAGTTGAAGGTTTGCCTTTTTTGGAATATAGATCGTTTAACTGTCGAAGAACGCGTAAAAATTATTAAATGTTAATATAAAAATTGTTATTCTGCTGTATCAACGTTTATGGCTTTACGAGCAGATTACGGTCGACATAATCGAACACAGTGGAAAAATTTGAATAGACTGGATCGGTTATTGATATTGTAAGGCCTGTGCATCATCGCAACATTCGTTCAGCTGAAAATATCGCTGTTGTTGCTCAAAGTGTGGAGGAAGACCCGAATTCGTCAATTCCCCGACGTGCTCAACATTTGGGTTTGACTTATTGTTGCGAATTTTGCAATTGGATTTAAAGCTCCATCCGTAGAAAGTCCAAGTGACTCAAGAACTTAAGCCTCAAGACCATGGGCAACGCAGAGCATACGCAAATTGGATGATTGAACCACAGGCCGTTGATGATGATTTTTCGAACCGAATTTTCTGCAGCGATGAGGCTCATTTTTCGTTCGGTGGTTACGTGAATGAACAGAACAGCCGTATATGGGGTTCTCAAAATCATCAGGAGATCGCAGAAAAGCCTTTGCACCCTGAAAAAGTGACCGTATGGTGTGCATTATGGTCCGATGGTGTTATTGGCCCGTATTTTTAACACGTAGTCATAACAGACAATTCTGAGCGCTATGGACGCATGTTAATTGATTATTTTTGGAGAAATTGAAGATTATGATCTGGAAGACATGTGGTTCCAGCAGGATGGAGCAACGTGTCACACAACACTGGCAGTTAGAGCCTTATTATAGCAAGATACATTTCCAGGACGCGTAAGCCAATATCCGTAAAGTTATGACCGAGATATTACCGGTAATGTGCCGAAAAGTCATTGAAAATTACCCCAAAAGGATTCAGGCGTGTACGAGATCCCGCGGAGGACATTTAAATGATATTGTTGCGGCTTGATTTCTTTAGCGCACAGCGGCAACGCAGTAGACACGACAGTAGAGATCAAGAGGTCCAATGGTACAGTACACCGTAGGTGCTCCATTTGAGAGGATCGCGATTGATGTAGCAGGGCCGTTTCCACAGACCGA